CCCCAAAACCCCAAAACCCCAAAACCCCTAATTATCCACTAGTTATTGAAATCTCCCTTGCTTATCTGTTAATAAATTCGTCTTTCTTGCTGAGCATATATTCACTCAAATCATCTTTGGTTCCATCTGGATTCAATATTTGCCATTTGAATACTTCTTCTACTAATATTTTAAGTACTGCTCCACCTTTGATGTGATAAAGAGTCATCAGATCTTTGCCATTCAGCAATGGCTTTATCTTATGAGCATTGTTTACTTTTGCCTCGATCATCTTGGCATAAAATTGCTGATACTTTTCTACAAACTCATCAATCTTTTCCTTCTCTAGTTCTGCTTCTGGATCATGGAAGTACATTCCAAAGCTTTCAAGGCAGATTGCTAACAAGATAGTTGGGTGTACTAGATCGCCTAGTTGCTTTACAAATAATCCAATCTCTAGGGTGTTAAAATGTTCTTGGTTAGCTAGTTCAATCAATCTGTCTAAATTATCCAAACACCCTGCAGCAAAATTCTTTGATTTGTTTGGTTGCTTTAATGACTCGTACATCACGTATGAGTGAACCTAGATATTGAACAAATGAAGCCTACCTTTTCTTGCTTTAACTTCTTACCCTTCTTAATGCTGTACTCATAGCTCCTGAATGGAACTAAGATTGCAGAGTAAAAGAGGTTCCTCTGGAACTCCTTTAACTGATCTCCTTGTAGCCATTCTATTCCCATGAATGAGGTATTAGCTTTGATTTCTTTGAATAGTTTTCCCAATATCTTACAGATCTTAAGAGATTCGAAAGTATACTCATTAACTGCCTCTTCAGACTGAAGTGGCTCACAAGTTGAAGGAAACTTCAGTAAATGAGAGAAAATTTGGTATCTATGGAAATACTCAATGGAGTCTTCTGGGTTTTCTCCTGACAACATGAGGTCAGTCTCCCTTCCTATTCTTTCGAATGTAACTTTCTTAGCAAGAGCTTCTTTGATCCCTGGCTGTGCAATTGCTTCATGAATATCATCCACTATCTTGAAGCCAAATCTTGTAGCAAATCTGATGGTTCTTAAAATTCTTAAAGGATCGTCTAAAAATGTCTGGAGGGGTTCTAATGGAGTTCTGATTATTCCTTCCTAAAATGGGTTTGACAGGAAACTTACTCTAAGATCGTCGATTCCTTTCTCTGTGAAATCCTCAATTTTCTTCTCATTGATGTTGTAAAACATAGAGTTTATTGTCAAATCTCTCCTTAAGGCATCTTGGAGAGGAGTCCCAATCTTAATTTCTGGAACTCTTGAATCATCAGCATATTCTTCACATCTCAGGTTAACCAGGTCAATGAATTGACCATGAACTTTCAGAGTAGCTGTTTCAAGATGTTTAGACTTCTCAGAATTTGCTTTGATAACTCCAAATTTCTCTTTTTCACCTGGATACAAATGTTTGCTAAGCATGCCTGCAAACTCAGCTCCTGAGATATCATCTAGTGCGAAGTCAATATCCTTAGAGTCTTTGTGTAACATTTTGTCTCTGACCCAGCCACCATTGACTCTAATGGTTGTATTCAGGCTGTTCAACTTAGCGACTTCAAGAAGAGTATCAAAGATCTTTTCCTCTTCTCCAGTAATATTTATATCTGTTGTGACTTCAGGTTTCCCTGTGTCCTCATCTATGCTCATATTTAGTGGTTCCATTCTTGTAAAATAACTGTTGTACCTAAAGCTCGTCAGAAGGGCTATAAACGATGAAAACTGTGGCTGGTAGCCATACTTACGTGAAAATCTCTTAAATTTATAAAGCAGCATGATAAATCTATTAATTTCAGCCAATTATACCTATGTAGGGGTTTTGGGGTTTTGGGGTTTTGGGGTTTTGGGG